AGTTAACAAAGGTACACTACCCATTCCTCCAAAGAAAGGAGTTTGGCTGAAATGTCCAATTTCATGCCACCACTTCTAGTGCTTTAGATCTGACGGGCAGTTTTCCTAGTGAAACTTGCTGTCTCTAGCTGTGCTGGTCCCAACCTTCCTATTAGTTCAGGCCAGGCAAAAGGCAGTTTGCATCACTCTTGCAAGCATGACGATTTCTGTCTGATAAGCCAGACTGGGCTCACATCGTTCCCAGCACCTCCCTGAAGTGAGCAGTTCACTGCTGAAACCGAGTAGTCACCTTCCAGGTAACACAAGATTGTCCAGGAGCTGTTCCTAAGTAATAGATCAGCATTGGCACAGCAGGCTCTGTGGAGAAGGGCAGCTTTAGGAGCTCTTTAATTTCTTCTTGGATTCAGTCCTCCAAACAGTTTGCAAAGTTTGAAGTGTGGGAAAACTCTAGACACAGTAAACTGGGTCATGGGAGTGCTCTTTGTGCGATGGCAAGGCTGTGGAGCGGACAAAGGGAAGGGAAGGGTGGCATGCGCCAGGGCTGTGCTCAAAGTGCAGCCCTGGCTTAAGGGCTCTGAGGGATTATAATGTGTTTAGACAGAAAGACAAACAGCTCTGCAGTTAACCGAGCAGTTTTTCATGGAGGACTTGGTGTGTCTCCTTTTCAAAGCCGTAAAAGTTCTTTTTTAAAAAAAAAAGAAAAAGAAGGAAAGAAAGGAAAAGAAAAAAGGATTGTTCTAAAGTGGATTCTTACTTGCTAATTGTACTGCACAAGTTTTTTCCACCTCCTCTGAAAACTCCTGATGCAGGAGGCATGTCAATCTTCCCAGCCCCGGTACCCTCCTTGGGACAAACATGTCAAAGTTTATCTGGTCCCTAACAAAGTTCCTTCTGTAACACATGCCCTTTGCAGAAGCTGTGGAAACGTTTTGTGTGCCAAAGGTCCACCTAGCAGAAAGTAGTCTAGTGCTAGCAGCCTCTTCCCATGATTTTCACTGTGGCAAATGGAGTGAAGGAGCTCCCAGATGTGGCTGGGAAAAAAAACCACCCCCCACATGTGGCTGGGTTGTGGGCCTGCCAGAGGTAGCCAAGATGTCCCTGAGCAGGTTGTTCAAGAATCTCGGTCTTCTGAATCACTGCCTCATACACAGGGTCCAACATGTGTACCTTTTGACCACATCTGTTGTTAATCTAGATCTGTTGTTCCTTATATGCCTGTTGTGCATTGCCTTTCTTTCTGGATCTTTTTGTTTGTCTGGGTTTAGTTTGATTTTTTTTTTTTTGGTTGGGTTTTTTTTTCCTTCATCTGATTTTTAAATAATTTGGGTCAGAGACTATGCCTATAGTAAGACTTGCCAACATGTTGAAAACTTTGTTCATTTTGATGCTGGGGGTTATTTTTTCAGCAGCAGCAAGTGCCAGTAATTTAAAGCTGCAGTCTTGTGGCGGGAATAATAGAGCTTGTTTAAGATTCCTCTGGAAAATTTAAAAAAGAGTTTTAAATTAAAAGATCTGGAATAATGCATGAATTGCAGCTTTGGGGTGAATTTCTGGCCGACATACTGGTGAACTGCGGTGAATTTAGAAATAAGAGTTCTTTTGCCTTTATCTGTGTGAAAGCTAATAATTACACGTGGGAGATACAGGGAAAGTGGATGGGTGTGATTTCCACATTCCATTTACATTTGTGGTAGCAGGTGCTTCAGTGCTCCTTGAGCTGTTAGCCACTATTAAGTGTTTAGACCTCTGTTCATTTAGTTCTAAGTTAGAATAAGCTGCTTATTCCTGAAGCTGTAAGTAACCTTATACTTAAAAAAAGTTCTGTGAGTGGAAAGCTTCTGGAAAGTAGAAGATAGCTTAAAATCTAAACAGCCAACATATATTATAAGACTTTTGGATATTACCAAATGTTATTACATTGCTGGCTTTGTTTTGTTTATAGAAGAGCAGCACATAAACTGCTGTGGTGCATTGCTGTGGACTTGGTCCTAATTGTCAGGTTTCTTTTAAATGTGACTTCCTCTAGGGGCATGAGTGTCCCACCAAATGTCTTTGTATTCAGTATGTATTTAACGAGCCAAAGAAACATAGTTAACTGTTGCACACTTAAAGAAATTTGCAGAATTAATTTCCTGATCATTTTGTTATTTTGCCACTTTAATACCACTCATCTGAAAAGCACTTCACAGTCTTGTTAAAATCCAGACATTTCACACTCATGTCATGGATTCTATTTGTACCTTTCTCCATTCGGAAATGAAGCATTGCATGTATTTTTCTTTCCATAATGATGAAGCGGTATTTTAAGCTGAGCATATTTGAACTACACCACTCTGCAAGAGTTGTGGTTTTGATCTTTGTGGGTGTTTT